CAACACAGACTGTGAGTAACTAAGTTGCATATAACTAACGTCATCACAGAACCCTTTTAGACATTGGCTATCTGGATTCTGATTCAGCAGTCGAATGAGAACTGATTTATGTTACTTCCGCGGCCGAGTGGTCTGCACGTTTGCTTTGCAACCATAAGGTCACCGGTTCGAATCCGCGTAGGGGTGGGCGTCCTCGCGGTATACTCAGCCCGCGCGCGACTAGTGGTGGTCGCGCGGCAGCGAAGCGCCGTTACGGCGTACAGCTGATAATTTATTATTATTTTATTATATGTTACTTCCGTGGAACTTAATTTTAACTCCATGCCGCAAACTAAGTTCAGACGTAGCAATTAAACTACACAATTAAGAGATGTCAGACTTTTGGTCACCTTTTCTGTAATGCTCAGTAGACGTAAAGGTTGAACGTGCGCTTCTTTTTGTCTATGTCTTCTCGGAGCAATTGGCTATCCCGGCATTTTTCCAGATGAAGATAAACATGCTTTATAGGATGTCAGCAGACACAAAATATAGGGTTTGAGATATAACGAAGTTTGGTGACTGGTTGGATCCTTGGAGTGGATGGATGGTACACCCAAGTGATTTGAGAAACGTGTTGGGACAATGCCATGCAACGGTTGCTAAAAAATCCACTGATCTATTTGGTCATATCATCGGTGTCTTTATAAATGCCTTATTTCCATGAAGCCATAGTCAACCTATATGTCAACGGTGTGAATCTACGATGAATTTCATCCTACGAAAAATAACATAATATGACCGGCTAATCACAAGGAAAATTGATAGTTCAGCTTCCGTATATAACATGTTGTGTTGCAACAGACGCTTTAATTTTCAATTTGCCAGCACAAAAAGAAATGGTATAAGTTCCTACTTTTTAATTCCGGAGCGATCTCTGGTACATCGAACTCCTTCAACAGCTGCTTTACTGATACACTAGAAACGTCTGGATCATTTGGTACAATTTTTCTCTCCCATTCTGGTGTCGGCTCTCTCGGTGTTACAAGTGTGGGCTGTTTCGGCGCTGCAGACACAGGCACAGGAGTCGGTGGGGTTGCTTGTGGTGGTGGAATATAAATCTTTAACGGCGGCCGTGGTTTTGATGGTGGTGATCTGGTTGGTGCAGGTCTAGTGTTTGACAGAATGACGGTAGGTTTCGGTGGCGGCATGACTCGCCTGGCCGGTTTCAGTGGCATTTCCTTTTCCCAGAACAACTGTAGCTCAGTCGTTGTGATATCTTGCGGCAGTTGCTTGGAACGGAGAGACTGATTGTCCAGGTAAATCGTCTCTTGTTTTTGTAAACGTTCATACCTGCATGAATATAGGGGCATTGATATTCACGTGATTCACGAGAGTAAAGTATGGAGATGATCTATTTGTGATTATATTCGGTCTTCAGTGATTGTAACACGATGAGTTGTGTTCGACAAACTTAGCATAGTTTTCAATGCAGCATACATGTCAAAAGTAGTTAAGCTTAGGAAATCAAAATAACCATGAAAATAACAACCTTTGTTTAATCCTATTATTATTTATACTTTGTGGTCGGTTAAATCTACGTCTTCATAAATCCACTTGAGATGAACCTAAACTATAGTTAGAGCATTCTGCTATGTTATAGTGTAAAGAGTAACCAAAGGCTATCTGAACCAACAATTCTTGCTGATAAATGCTAGATTCACTGGAATTCGCCTTGCATTGATGCAAGTATTTGTTACCTTGAAAAATGTACGTAAAGTGATGTCCGAACAGAACTTATAGAAAGTTATTGGAAATCTGAAAAATATCCATTTGGGCAAATGAGGTTCTGTTAGCTCAACAATACGTTGCAACTATCGATGATCATATTAAAAAAAGCCGTTAGCCGGAATTAGGGATATTTCTTATTCATTCTATTTATTAGAATAAACAATAGGAGATGGGTTCATCCAAGAGTATAAATCAACCTCCCTAGACTGATACACACATCTGTAGAATGTTGTGAAATCTACATACGAGAGAAGTCATACTCATTATGACTGTTAACTCTCTGGGTGTTTCCACGTGAATGACCTTTCGCCCACTAAAATCACAATCTCCTCCGTGTACTGACTAATAATGCAGAATTCGACAGCCGGTGACAGATTTAAGTCCATAAGGTCAAGTGTCTTGAGTACGCTATGCCTTTCGCATACAAATGTGAAATCTTTTCAGCTGTAAATGCGCCACCGGCGTATGTATATTTCGGAAATATTGGGTTTAAAACTGAGGTTAACTGTCGCGGTGCACCCGGTCGCCTTGGAACATGCAAACATGCTACACGTTAGGGTAGCAAACGATTGCTCCTACTGTACACTGCGTACAAATTTGACTAACGAATTCATCTACTTTGGGTGGTGTGGGACGTTTCGGAACAAGGAGGTGGCATGGTGACGAAATAAGTCCATGTGTACGCCTAGTTTTAGGGTGCCTTTTTGTTCATTTCTACTCTGCAAACAGTTCTGACTACCAGGATGGAAGCTGCCGCCAAAAGACGTGTAAGGCAAAATTATACCCATGTATTGGAGTTTCTTAGTCCACCAAGACTCATGCAAGATTTTACTTAGCTTCTGACGCGTTGGTATGTTTCCAAGCGAAGCCAAAGTCTGGTAAATCGAAGAGATTCGATTTGAGCAGTACAGCTAAGTTTACAAAGACTGGGGTGATTTAGACAAGCGCACCTCCAGACCGAGTATCACACAGCAGTACTACTAGGAAATTAGTGTCTGATGGTGGCGAACACGCATGTTGCGAAATCAGCCACGCCTACCACTGCCGGCTAATAATCCATCGCATCCAGAAGCATATGAAATGCTTGAGGAAGGTACATGCATGGTGCACGGCTGCAAGCGATAACGAAGATAGATGAAGCTAGAGTGATAGAACTAGCTAGAGGTGCATAAAGATGAGGGATGAAGGAGATGTTCTTCCGACCAGCCAGTTTTTGTCATTTTAGTACACGATGTGAGGTCAAGTTTTGAATGCAATGTAACCTATAAATTGTCGCTACTACTGTACGTGGGAAATCCAGTCTGGTAATTCACCAGATCTACAGGATAAACGTTTGTAATGCAGGCACTAAACGTGAAGGTGTTCAGTCTGTTTAAGCAGCAAGGAAACTGTCTTTCTTTGAGCTAAGAAGCAGACAACTTCCGCAATTATTTCAGCCCTACATATTATTTGGATTATTTGGAGAGAAATACCATAAACCTATTACTGTTCCTTAAGTGAATGAGACCCCTAATTCCCTCCAGTTATGCCGCTTGATTGCGATTGTCCTACCCGTAATCCTGGCTCTATTCCTAGTTTCACTGGATTCGTCTGTAAGGTTGCTTGTGTTGCAATTCTTTGTAATATGCTGACAAATACGTTTATTTGAACAGAAGAGTTTATAAAATAAGAATTCCTAAAAGGCTGCTTTCAGTTTAGAAGTCACTGAATAATAGAGTGGGCCAAAGTATAACGACAGCAGATTTGTATCAGACGATGTCAAGAGTGACTGCGCATTGCCATCTCCTCCGCATAATATCACATTATGTCAATAATGGACTATGAAAATCGCTCTTATCTTCTAAATCTGAAAATTACTGCAACGCTATGGACAAACGTATAAAACTCTAATAACTTATATATCTGTCGTTAAAACAACAAGGGCTCTTCCTTTCCCTGAACCTTAATTCTAGCCTACAACTTGATTGAGTAAGTTGTTCAGGAAACTTTTACCCAATTATAACTACTGACTCGGAAACTGGGACAATTATTATGTGGGGACGAAAATCGAGCTAACACGCAATTCAAGTTATTTTGTGCCCTAGAATTGATGTGCGGGATAGTTCTTCCAATTACTTGGAGGTCTTTGAAAGCATTCGCATTAAGACGCAGCAAACTTCAAAAGGCAAGATGGAAGATGGGAAACGTTCTCACCGAAAAGAAAGCGTGTGGTGTGCTTAAGGATAATGCTTGTTTCAGAAAATACCTTTGGCCCATGGTCACGAAGGAATAGATCAGATCCGGGTAAAAAGAGGCAAACAAAAATTAGCTGGAGGCTGTTAGTTCAGTATGGGACTTTTCCTGGGACTGAGGATCGTGTCCAATCTGTTGTAAATTAAATCCTCTGTTTTTCAATATGCTACCAAAAGGATGACGCTATGTAGACAAAAAGCTATATACGGTAGCCTTTACTGTAGCAGTTGTATAACGGTTTGCATATCCAACTTTGTATGTGTTATATCTAACTTAATAAGTGTAATCCCAGAGAATTCCTAGTGATCTATGTGGCAGGATAAAATGAAGGATATTTTGTATGGTCTTATGCGCAAGGGGATCGAAGTGAATTTAAACACTTAGTGGCCATTTGTTTGAAATATTCAGGTCAGCGTACGGTTAAATTAGACGAGAAGTTGGTTCATGGGATTCAGACTGTTCTTTAGTCTGTTCTTCGGAGATCAAATCGTGATTGATATTACGATGCAAAGCAGGACAGGAACCAAGATAAAACAGAAGTAGATATGTACATTTAGACCGATCTTTTAGTTGATTTAGTCCGATAGAATATCAGTATGTGTTGTGGAATAGTTTAATCCTAAGTGCATTTTTAACCTGACATTTTTACACCATTGTCTGCGCACATATGACAATAGCTTGTTGCAGAAAAGTCCAGAATTTTTCGCTATTTAGTTTTGTTATTTCGATGCATAACGCGTTTTAAACACCTGCTGCGCAATCCAATTGCAGGTCATATCCTGATTCATGGGGCATTGTTAAGCGAAGAATATGCGGGATGCAGCCCACAGCCGTGACTAATGTTATCTTTTCGTGAGGTCATTTCAAGGTTGTTCTTTCAAAATACTTCACCTCCAACGCCTCAGGAGGATGGGCCAATTTGTTGTGGCTCGTATCATTAATATAAAATAATAATAATAGGCAATAAGAAAAAAGGCGGGGGAGAAACACTGGCTTATAGACAGAATTTTTAATAAGAGGGATAGCTTAAAATATGTGCAGTCTTAAGGATTAGCAGGTGGCAGCGACACACCAAACACCAATGGCTGTGCAACTTCATTAGGCCAGCAAGAGCCCCTAACACGTGAGGTGACCGATTATAAGTATTCCATCCAGGAAGGCGACGCTTATCGGTTCAAGCAACAGCTTCCGTCAATTTTTATCTATTTCAGAATGTATTTGACTGACTTATCTTCACTATTCCGCCAGCAAATGTGTTGAGACGGTAGGTGTGGTTTAGTGAGTGATGGCTTATCTACTCTAAAAGCCACACGGTCAGATGGGGCATGAAGTGTGAGTGAAATTCATCGAGGAAATACCCTGCATGGGCGCAGGTCTGCGGAAGACGTTTCCATGGACAGCCGTATTACCTCAATGGTACATTTGAATTCACTACATTTATTATCTTTGACCACCAATCAAATATGACTGAAGGATTCATCTGAGCAATTAACAATGCCAGTCAAAAAATATTTTGAGAACTGCTATGAAATACTCGGTACTAATCATGTGCTCCATGCGATCCCCCTGTACATAATGTTCATACCTTCCGGTCGGACTGTACCTCGCACTGTCGAGGAATATGCCGTTGTTTTTTATTCGCTACCACTTCGTATTCTCATGCACCAGCATGGTATTACCTATACACATATGACCTGTGTCAAATATGAACACGGTGTCTCCCTTGCAGAGTAATATATCTATTATTAGTATTATTAATATTATTATCTGTTCATGCAAGTGTACTGTGTCATATAGCTACAACGCTTCATGACAATGAAGATGAAAGTACAGCCGATGTTGGTCATGGAGTGGGAAGCTGTAACTGTGTGTTAATGTCGAATAATCAGCGAAAGATGACCTATTCAGGGAACAATATTTCCGAAATCACCGTCAATGGCCCCACCCCGACAGACTGTAGGTATTTGAAAGGCGTCACGAAGTCTAACTATGACATTAGTTTGAATCGCCGTGAAATCTTGGAGCTTCGTCAGTCCAGTTGACTTCCCTAGATCGCGTATGTGGTAGTGTGTTCTTCCGGCTAGTGTATATAAGTCAAAAGAGCACTGGGCAATGCTCTTTATCATCCTACTGGATATTCAGCATCCATGTGAGATCCAAGATCCCGGATTACTCCGCCATCTTTTTAAAACATTCCAGCGAAATAATGTCATTCCTTTCCTAAACGGAGTACTTATATTCCCTTGATTCTTTTCGTAGGTGTGTAGGTGCCCTATGTCTCAATTTGCTTGAGCTCTCACTTCCGAAAACTACGACGTAGCAATGTCTGGGAGAAGAAAATAGACTTCATGTGTCTTGCAGTGATGATGGCACTACGTCCATGATGTATCCGATAATTAGTTGTTAGCAAGCCAGTTTATTCCACATGCATGCAAGCCATCAGTAAGAGCGATCTCAGTTGGGACCAATGTTGTCGCGGATACTTTAATGTGCATAAAGTTCGAATTTTGGTTCCAAGTAAAGCCGGAACCATGCAAACTAGCAAAATGCCTGAAGATGCGAAGTACATGAGGGCAGATAGCACCAGGCATTCTTCTGCGTCAGATAAGGTAAAACGGGATCAACTGACCGGGATTGCAATTCGGGATGAATCTCGGCACCAATATGGATCTTGTGTATTACACAAAATACATCTATGTTACCCTAGCGACGAACAATGATAATTAGCTACCTTTGCTAGTTAACTTATTAAACGCTTACGTTTACGTATACAATGATTCAGGACACCACGTGCATAGTCAATTTCGAGTTTCCATATTCTTAATTTCATCGGCTTATAGCCTTGTCCTACCCTGTGGTGCTGACAAAAAGTTGTAGATTTCAAATGCTGCTTAAAACAGGCGAAACAGACGTACTGCGAGTAAGCGTGGATAAGCCGAATTGCTTAATACCAATTCATCGTGTTCATCACTTACCGGCCAACAATGATCTCCAGTGTGTAGACAGCTTGTTCGATCACTTGGACTGCGTATTCATGCGACATGTCTAATGCGTCCACTCCGCTAATGGCCAACACGTGATCACCTTCGCGCAGCCCTGCGAGGTCAGCCGGACTGCGTTGACGAACCTGAAGGGGATGAGAATGATTGTGTTTGCGTATGGAACAGCTGCATACGAAGATTAATAGTAATTTCAAAACCACTAAAAATCCTATGCGTACCCTACTAGGACTCAACTATGTGATTTTTAGTGCATTCCGCGGTCTAGGGCACATGTTCTTGCGGTGTCCTGTCAACCACATCGCTATTCACAATTTCCCAATCACTTAAAACCCGTTCATACAGTTGCGTCTACTAATCTAACGAAGCAAAAGTAACAATACCCAGAGAAACATTATGGCGTAATGAGCTATTTTCTAGGTTGAGCAGTAGACAGTTCTCAGTGAGATGGCTGGGAGGAAGTCGAGAACACTATGGTACTACACTGTTGGACAATTTCATCTAGCACTTCTTTGGGGTGTGCATTCTTCGTTACTGACATGCATAGTAACAGAAAAATGTCAAAGTGGATCAGAAGGATGGTTCCGATATCGCCCATTCAACCTTATATGTTTCCATCTGACAGATCAGCCCCTATTTATTCACACAAAGTAGCAGTGGTGTCGGAGGATATACCAGTAAATTAACGTGACAACTTGCGTGTAGAAGCACACTGTTCAGAGACGAACTTTTATTATTGGATACAACAAAACATGTAGAAACCTTTATTTATTCTTAACTCGCAATTCTGAATACGAGTAATTAGAATGTGCATGTGTGTTTGCATAAATCATAATATATATTAAACGCTCAGATGCAAGGAAACTGATAAGATTCAACAAGCACATATCGTCGTTAATCATCGCCTATAACTAGTTAGCATATCAGGTTTACAACCGTGGCTACGAATTTGAGCTGTTTTACTCGCAGCTAACATATATATATATATATATATATGAATTGTTATATCGCACACGGCTCTAATATAAATCTGTAGAGCACAGGAGTGCGCGGTCTGACTGACACACTTTATCCTTAAAACGAAAAGCTAACTTGTGTGGAATACTCTCCATCCGTACCCTTCTTTATTGACACTACCTTTGATCATGATTGCTGATAATTGTTAACGGGTTGCCCAGGGAGCAAATCAAGCGTTTAATGGACACTCTATGTTTGCGTTCCAGTTCGTTGCCCTGTTGCAAATTCTGTGGTCACTGGCGCAGAGTAGGTGTGATAGAGCTGGTGACCAGACAGAAAGTGTCAACGTACCTCCACCAGACCAGCTGAGCAAAAAAGGCTGGCAAATTTCAGAAAGTATTTGCTCTCAATGTATGTTGCAATGAAGGTGGACTTCAACTGACTAAATTCGTGGAGCACAAAATGTTTTAGACGCAAGCGGAAACCGGAAAACAACTTGCTGTTGACGACTTGGCGGTTTTATGCATGGAAACGGCTGAACACATTTTGGACGTTTAACTAATGAAATTGAGTATGCAGTGTGAGTAAGTAATGCAACGCGTCAAAGTACAGAAACAGAAGTCACTGGTGGTGACTATATTTGAACCTTCGTTAATGGGATTACATGCGGGAATTCTCTGCATCAATACATTTACTGAAAAGTTTCTATTAAAAGCTTAGTGTTAACGGCTTTGGTCTTTTTCTGGGTTTATCCACAAGGTTTGGGTTGGTGAACAATTTTGATTTCTCACTAAATCTATATTAGTTTGCCCATGTTCTTCCAAGTATCTGACGTTCCACTTTTTCTAGCTTGTGTGTTGCCTTTTGATTATTTATCTTGTGCAGTGACCATAATGCTGACCCCAATTGTTCCTTAGGATCGACACAATTGGATTCATTTCGTGAAAACGACATGATGCGCTTTGGAGATCTGTATTTCGTTTCTAGCCACCATAACTCTTAACAAATTTTATCCGCTTTCTTATAGACAGCGGGGAGTGAATAGCTCGCTTAACAGGAAAACATGTGATGGAAGTAATTGAGCGCGGTTAGTTTTGCGTGGGTGGATAAAAGGCGACCGCAATAAGGGATGCTGCAAATGATGGAGTTGAATTTACCCAGTAAACTCGTAGAAATGGTGAAAAAACGCACCATGTGTGCAGCCACTTCGAGCAATTAATTATTCAGATGCAAAAACAAGAATGTGGGTGCATAGGATTTTAAATACATAATCACCTGTACGCCCTCAAGTGGAGTTAATACCAGGAGTGCAAAATCTTTGTGAGACTTGCCTTAGATACAATCAGCCCCTCCATAAAATCTTCATACAGGCGGAACCCCCATGGGGGACCGTTCCTGAGAAGAAATCGCCGTTCCACGTAAGTCATAATGAACGTGCACAACAGGAGTAAAGCATGTGTGAGATCCGGTTGTTTTCTTACATCAACACCAACCTGTTCCAGTTGCTGAAATAGTTCGTGTAATCCAATCTCCCGGGGTTAAGGTGTTCCGCGAAAGTTGTAGTGAAACTTAGTTCAAGCGAAATTCCGTTCAATGTTAAAAGAAATGCGGACGAAAAGAAAGCTACTAGCACGTATCAACAAGTCCGCGTGACATGGGCAGCTTATACAGCCACCTTGTCCGTAGAATCCTTTGATTGGTTAACGGGCTATCGATTGATCGATCGACGCAAGGTGTACACCATTCCGTCCGCAGTTTAGGATCGTGAAACCCAACAGCGGAGCGATGGTAGCGAGTGGATGCTGGATATCCAAGGTTAAAAGAGACCAATCAATGTCGCCCTTTTCTAACACCCTCCGTATTGTGTACAGAAGCATTGGTGCTTCTGTTGGCCACCTAGCAATGTGTGCGATTATGTCTGCGCATGTTCTTTTAAAGGAAATGTCCCGTACGGACACTAGGTACCCTAACCACGTGATGGGAAACCAGCTGATTTGTAGCATAGCTATAAGACGCCCTCGTGAACGAGGAAATGTAAGGTAACATTGGGAAAACTGGTACGTTGTTTGTGAAGCGGTGTTTAAGCTGCAGCCTAAACGCCACGGGATTGCCATGTTACGACGATGGGCCGATAATCTTTTGTGCTTAATTCTATGAAATGGTAATACTTTCGACCAGATATCAAATGCGCATATCCTTCTACTTGAAGCAGTTAGCCAAGTTTGACCCGATATACTTTTTGCGACCTCTGTCGTGTGAGGGCAAATAATAATGATATGTATATTTCCGAGATGTGCGAGAGGCTGATTCAGAAAGAGGGTCACTAATTAAACACAATTATGATCATGTTCTTGCATGAGTTAGATTGGTATTCAGTAGCGCCTGCGTCTTTAAAATACTCTGCAATGCGTGGTTTTTAGTGACGTGAGGTTTTGTGTAAGTTTTCACACACTTTTTGGTTATTTTCTTGTCTATCTTGGAAGAAGTCAGTTGACGAAATTCCCGATGGAAACAGCTGTTATGGAGTTCTGATCCAACAAGTTTCAAATTTTGATGTGTATGTGCCTGTATGTGCACATGAACTTCCAGTTGCTGGCGGATTATTCCACAAAACGAAGAAGCAATTGGAGCGAATAACTTCATTGGTTTCGTTGATGATAACACTGTCATGACAATCAGTCAAACGTGTCACTATTCAGCGTACGATAGATTTCTAATAGACCATAATAAATATAAGATAGAGGCGGACGTTGGACGGCATGAACAGAAAACGATTACTTGTCGTAATGTCTATAAGTGCCTGTTTTTAAGCTGCTGAATATCATCAAACTAGTTGATTGTTTGAGTGAGAGAGGTTTTCTCGCTGAGGCAGAAGTTTTTGAGCTTGGTGAACCACAAACTTAGTACAAATACATGATTCACATAAGTAGCAGTACTTTATTGTTCCTATTTACTAGCGATGCTTATTTGCAAACGTTATCTCTAAGACGGCTAGGGGTTCTCAAGAAACGTGACAACTGGGATCGCATGTATAAAGTGAGCTCAGTAAAATAGCATCATTAGGTTTTCAGTAAGGTACATAGAAATGTAAGGACCTTATCAGAAAACTACTGGGCAAAGTGCTTCTAACATACATTTGCATGGTAAACAATGCCAAAAATGCATTCTTTATGATCTCTACGCAAGTCAAGCAATAAGCTCAATCAATAAAATTAAGCTAATTTTCGGAAGTGTAAATTAAGTGGATTATCACAGCCATCGACTTGTTGGCCGGTACATTTAAAAAGAAAATGTGATCTGACGGGGCAAGTCATACTCACTCCTGAACTACTTATGTGTCACAAATTTATGGAACTGAGTGGATCCTGTAGTCAATACAATGATCGCTTGAGAATACAAATATGATAGGAATTCAAATCAAGAAGTCCTTCCACATATCCGTAAAAACACTAAACCGTCATGCTGACCAGCTGGGTCTTGTTATTAATACGGATTCATCGGCCCAATTATGATTCGACCACGTGACCGTTAACTGCTTTTACTACAAACTAGTACTTAAGCCACTGAAAAACGAGTAAATCGTTATCTTTTCCCAAACCGTTTATAAATGTTAACTCTTATACAGGTACTCTCATTGAACATCGTGTCTTCGGGACCAACCCTATCATCTGTACTGCTTGTAACTTGCGTGAAGTAGAGAATGAGACGTTATATCACAATTGGTTGGTAAAACATGACAGTCCGATACTGCACCCCGTGGCCCTGTAGCATAAGCTGCTGGCTGAGTGCTTAAGTAGTTGGTGGAGTCGATAGATGGGCAATCCTAACGAATCACAAGTAGATGGAAAGGCCACCTAAAGTTTCCCTGGGTATGTGGAAAACTAGCTTACTTGGTGCTGGTGCGATAAACTTTCAGTTAATTAAATGAAAATCTCTACGCACCCAAGCACAGCATAATATTTTCCCTGATATTTTCTGAACCATTTTTCCATGTATTTTCATCAAGGGTAATGATTCAAACGGATGCAGTGTTTGCTTTTATTGTATGCGAAATATACTTTAAAAGGAAACAAATAACCGCGATATCGGTCATGTTAAGCCTGTTAATCCTAACCCCTTGTATCTCCAAGTTAAAATGTGGAAAGTTTTGGACCAGTATGAACCAAATGTCTCTATAAAAATCCACGAAATTATCGCCATTTGGCACGCATTGATCAATAACTTCGATCATGTGGATCAAACTCCATGTCTTGCTTCGAAGAACGGGAAGTCTGGTCAAATACCAACAAATTCCTCTTATCACTTTCAACGTGAAGTTGCTTAACTCAACCATTAAACACACCATTTAAAGTCAATCTCTACTACACGGTTTATCCCACTGTCAGTTTCCTAAATATGTGCTTCCTGCTGAGAGAGTTGCTAATCCTGCACCAGTTTGTGCCCCACAAAACTTCTGTGACCTTAGGGGAGAAGCCGTTACATGGATTCACGGCCCAAGTATCCTACAGAGAAAAACACTAAGTATGGGCAAAAGGTTATAAATTTAAGTAGCACTCACAGGACCCTATTTTAAAACATACGGATTAGCGATTTCCTCCTTCTTGAGCAGCTTCTTCGCCTTCACTGCTGACTGACCAACGCGATCTCTTAGTTATTCTCTCTCAGCTTGCTTGCACCTAGTCACTTCAGGTTAAAAATGAGTCGTGTACTGCCCAATTCCCGAAGTTCCAGTGTTTAATGGATTGCTTGTGTCACAAGAAAATAACAAAGCTGGGATGCCATTTGTAGGGACAGTGTATTCATGGGAACTGTTAACGAATTCTTTTGATGCCCATAAGCTTACGCCAAATGTCAGTCAAAAGTGAGCGTTATGCGCCCAGTTGCGTGCATTTTCTGTACTTTACGATTGTGGGACTTGGGGCAGAAGAAATCAATGTTGTTAACAGGATGAAGTAGTGTGAACTGAAACATGTACAAGGAAGGCACCTGCGTATCTGTGACCACACTATAAAATAAAGCCAAATTATTTCTCTCAGTGGAAAAAGACACCGCGCTTAGGAAATTTAAAGGACAATATTTGAATAACGCTCATCCTCGTGTATCTAGACATGCAATAGCAAAGCTTGCATTACGTACCGATACACAATCCAGAGAAGAATAGGTTCTATCTGGGCATCTGATTCATGTCATCATTTATGCCAGAGATCTTGGCTTTAGAATATTCTATCAAGAGGTTTCACTGTCTGAATCCAATATGGTCACGCCGATCATGCATAGAATCTCCACCAACCATGTTTACTAACATTCTACAACAGTTAATTGTTGAACCCCTTCATAATCCAAAGATGTTTCTCAGCAGCACATACATGTTCCCCTGTAATAATGCCAACATAGTCCTCAATGAGTTTAAATTGCTTTCAACATCCAGTACAAGCACACTAATCAGCGCCGTATACCTATCAGCCAGCTTTAATTAAGCAGCAAAATAACCGACCACATGCGTACGTCTACCCAAGGCCGGCGAGTATTCTGATCCAGAATGTTTATAGATGTACCGTACCTTGAGAGAGTAAAACGAGCGAAGGTGGAGCATCTGTGTCCATCTGCTCTCCGACCGTGTCCTTTGCGATCCACAACAGCGATAGCAGTAATTAGTGGGGTTTCTAGTTAGTGGAAGTAGGTAGTTGCCGGATTTCTATGAAGAGACATAAGACTGCATGAGATGGTTACAAAAGCCAATGACGCGATTTTATCCGGTAACACAGTGGTATGGCCTGCTGGAAATTAATTGTCGGTTGTTCAGGGTTGACTCGCATATTTCAAGGGAATTTGGTTCATAAAAAACAGTAATACTGGGTATATTTGTCATCGAGGGAGAAACTGGGTACATTTTTGGCACATACCAAATTTTTTAGAATTTTTCATGCTCATGCATGAGTGGTAAACAATGGTGTGATTCACATTGTCTTTGCTGTTTCAGGGATTTGTGTTCACTTACAGGTGTGTTTCAACGCAATGTGCACATGTTTGCTTATTGGATAGTAAAGGCACCAAGGGTGTTTCACACTGCGTAAACTTTTTTATTTAATTCAACCATCAGATCTTGCCTGGCCATTCTTGGAACAAATCATCAAGCAATCTCTCCCAAGAGAAGAGGGTCATGATCTTGTCCAAGTTTAGGTACTTGACGAACTTAAGGCAAAACGCAGTTACGCTCTCATGCGATTGGATGGTAACTGGGAGATGATTCCACAGGACAGCATATCTGATAAGAAAATTTGAACCGCAGATTTACCGAGCACCTGAATACACTGAGGCTAAACTCCTTCTTGTGTAGCTCCCTTGTCGAACTATGGTGTAGTTCTAGGGAGGACAAGTAGCAGTGGGCATTTTGATGAATCTTGTCACCACAGGCATGAACCCAAGTTCCACACATTTCGCTTGTAGTTACTCATCACAAAAACTCACCGGTAAAGAACAACTGTTTTCCTAGATATCCACAAATTCTGAAACAGGAAGCAATGTTTAGTTTGACTCAACCGAGTTTATTCTAAATGATCTGGCAAAAGTTCGCCTAAAATTCTACAGCATGATCCAGTTTAGAAGAGCCGCTGTAGACAACTTGTGATACC